AACAGTCATTGTTTTCTAGCTGAAAGTGAACTAAAACTTCTCAGAAGATTGCTTCCCTCCATGCCAGTGTTCTAGACCTTTTTTTTGTGCACATAGGAGTTTCAGTTTAATGAAGTTAATATTGGGCGCTTATCTGAACCTGCCCAAATCTATGAATCTTTGGGGGTTCATTTATCACTGAATAATGCAGCCGGACAGAGGGAGACAGCTGAATAGAAGTCAACATGCCAACTGTTCCTTCATTTGTTACTGCCATATTAATAAAGTCGTTAGAGTGGAACTAATCCATCTGCTCACAATTTATTCCCTAGCAATAAGATACAATTTCACTGTTTCATGAGCTCACCCTTTGACTAATTTTATTAGAATTCTTTCCATAGCATCATTTTTAATCACTTCTAGTTTTAGTTGTGTGTAAAGTTGTAGAAAAAGATGGACTAAGAGGAGAGATGAAAGTGTTCCACGAGGAACTGGATCAGTTTAAATAGAACCAGATCAAATAAAGTGAAGTCAGCAAGTCTACAAAGGCCAGCAGAAAAGCACTTAAAATTATCTCTTTCACAGCAAGCTTTGTTCTGTCATGTCTCAAATGTAAACAGAGTCAAAAGCAATGAGGCAGCCCCAGCAGCACCATAGGCCAAAGCTGGGCTGCAGTGCTGATGGGCAGTGCTGACCAAAGGCTTCAGAGACAAAGCACAGTGACTGGAAAATCTCCCTTCTTTGCCAAAAACTAGTGAATGACATTTAGCTCACCCACTAGCTCCCAGACAAGTGGCCTTAGAGTACTAAAGGGACGCAGGATTTTGGCTATGTGTTGTTTGTATGCAATGCTAAAACGAATTCCTATGAGCTTTATTATTATTATTTATTTATTTATTTATTTATTTTATTTTTTTACTTTAAAAAGATACTGATATGCTTATTCTGTATTGGCTATTACTAGTAGATGTGGTCTTCATTGTGCTGGGTGGGTGCAATCTCAGACATGAGTACCTAAGCAAAGCAAAGCTGACCAGTTTTTCAAAGTGCTGAGCCCACCGTTCCCATGGATTGCTAAGAGTTTTAACATAAATGCAGAAAGAATGCTGAAAAAGCTGGGAATGGAGCCTACACAGAGGTGAGGGTGAGGGTTTCTTCCCCCGGGTGAGGGTTTCCAAAGCATTTAATTCATTAACATGTCTACTTTCAGAGAAAGTGATAGTTTTAGCAACAGCTTTGCATGGGTTATTCCAGAAAGGTTCTGAAAAATGTACCTTCCTCTTATAAAAGGCAGAACTGTCTTGTAATATCAGCTGAAAACATTAAAATATACTTCCTTTTCTTTATATGGTGCACTGCCACTCTGCTGGGGCACTGACAATTAAAAAGAACACAGAAGAATAATTTGTCTTGGAAAAGTTATGGGCTTCTTCTCTTCTTTCAAATCCTTCCAGTTAGGAGGAACTTAAGTGTTCATATGTAGGCAATTACAGTGATTGCAGAGAAATTATTCCTTCATTAGAATGGAGGTGCTAAAAAGGCATAATAGCAAGTAAAAATCTATTAGTACTGAACATCAATATCTTAATCTAAAGCATAATTGCAGCTACTGCAGTATTTAAATAAGACATTCATTCCATGATATTAATTGCATGACTATGGATCATCTTTACAGTGCTATGGTTCTCTCTCACACATATATGTGTATATGGATATATATTTCAATTATTGGATGCTGAGCTAAACAAAATTTTTGTAAAATCAGACTTTTTTGTTCAAGACTTATTATAAATAAATGAAATAACGTTCACTGACAGCTCCAATAAAATTGTTTGAGAAAACTTTAGTGTACTAGGCTCAAAAATCTCTGTGATTTCCTTATAAGGACAAATACCCATTATGAAGAATCATTCATTATAGTGTGCTCTGGAGAGAAACAGTTCTCTTCACACAGCAGATGGACGTCAGAAATGCTCCCTATGTATCAACTGATATTGACTGAAAGGTTTCTAGATGTACATTAGAAGGTTTTATTCTTCTTTTATTTGTTAGTTTCTAGCAAATTTTCTGTAAAAATGGAAGTTTACTAGTAGAACACCAAAACAGTCCCATGAAGAATGAATTCTAGCTGAGGGGAAGTTTTCTTCTAGTCCAGACATTTCAGGACCTTTTTGGGAGAAGGGAGAACTGATATAGCAAGAACTATCATCTAAGTTTATGTGTCTGGCTCTCGTCTTTGCCCTGAGTGATTGTAAACATTAGATCACAAGATGTTTCATCTTTGGGCAAGGCAAGAAGGATGTCATGTCACCACAGCATCTCAAGAAAACTTAAAAAAATCTGAAAGCTGTCAGCAAAGCCCCTAATGCACTGTACAGTGGTGCATCTGCATTGGATCTGTGGCTGCCACAGATTAGTTTTGCCCACTAAATTTAGCATGTCAGTGATGATAAGGGATTGGTATCCTACAAAACTGAAGCTGAAACAAATAATGCTTTTTCAGGGGTTCACAGTCTCTCAATGATCCTAGAATTACATATTAAGCACAAGCACAGTCCTTTAGAACTCATGGCTTGTGTGATTTGAAAACACACGAAGTCAACATAAATCAGTGACAAAATGTGGCTTGCAAATTAATTTTTACTATTTATTAATAAACAAGCCACATGAACCTTCTGTTAAAGATATCTCCCAAGGAATGCAACTAAAGTCAATTTTTGATTGCTTAAACACATACCCTTAGCAGAGGTATGAACAAGAAAATCCCTGTTAAATTATTTTATGACACTGCGTTGAGAGCAATAGCAGCTCATTCAGGAATTTGGAGCTTTCATGGGAAGCGCTGTGCAAATTGTTTTACTGCAAAGTAGGAGCTTTCTGGTGTTAAGGTTAGTTAAAGTAATACTGTCAAATACCTGTCCAGGTTGTCCAGACCCAGAGGCTCCAAGACAAGCTCACAGTTTGAAACTAGAAGACACTGTGCCATTCATTTTGTCATAACAGCTTTAGTTATAGAGCATTATTACAGAGCATAAAACATGGCAATTACATAATAGAACCCACAGATATTTTGCTGTTCTTCTGACATTTTATACATAGAGATGGCAGAAGCCCTTTAAAGTCAATAGGAGGATTTTTTTTTTACTTTTTTTTTTTTTTTTTTTTTTTCAACCAGGGAATCAAATGAATTCGTATTACATATGAGACAACTATTTTGCTTACTTTTTAATTAAATAATTAATGCACACTTGTATTTACTAAAATCCACCATATATTCATATCTCCAACAATATAAGGGGCACTGATTATATCACAAAATTTCACCAATATTAGGACATAACTATTATTTGCCCATTGGTCCAATTTAGAAACAGCATCCCAGATCTAGCATCTCTCAGAAACAGAGAATGATAGTATGTGGCAGGTGTCTAATCCATTTTAACATCAGTTTAGAAAAGAAAAATAGAAATCATCATATTTCAGTGGAGAAAAAGAACAGTTAAATCAGTTTTTTTGTTTTGAAGAAATTGAATTTTATTCTTATTTTCAGTTTCAAGAATACTGTTTCTTGAAATGAATATATGGTATGAATATATTCCACTGAAAGTGTTTTTCCATTTGTACAGTTTGTATGTTTTGTAAATAATTAGAAGTAATAAGCATATGAAATTCCTTTACAAAGCAAGTCTTGGAATATTGAATGTTAACATTATTAATATTCAGTCTCAGGCAGAAAGGGGCATGTCTTCATTTTTCATACAGTATTTAAAAACTGGGCAAAGCAATATGGAGGAAGAGTATCTTTACAAAGTAATTTGAAGTGAGATTCATCTGAAATAACTAGATATATGCCTGTGGATTCTAAACTCTTTTTACAGTCAAGAGGGGAAGGCATTGTTAGGATATGACTCATTTTGTCCTAAAGTAAACATCAAAAATATCAATGTTATTTCTCTTCAGAAACAATAAAGGACAGCTGTAATTGGCAATTTGTGCAGCCATACATACTGCAGCTGTCTAAAGTTACTAGAAGAGCTGCCCAGTGTTACAAATGCTGCAATGTTATTTATATCATCCGTGAATGCTTGAAGGTTGTTGCTTGTAAGGCGCAACATTGATATAATATTTAAAATTTAAGAACTCACATATGCTAAATTTTTTGGTCAGAAATCACTATTCTCTTAAATATTTCCTTTGAAATTTTTGGGAGCTGCTGGCACCTTCAGTATGAATAGAATAGTTTCAGTTTGAATAGAATAGATTAGAATCATATTCCAGCTTTCTAAAAGCCAATAATAGATAAAATATTTCTATGTTAATTCTGTGTCTTATTGAACTCCAACTGGAACTGATATGGCTCAGTGTCCCAGTAGAGACTGCTGATGAATGGCATTCCTCAGGGATCGGTGCTGGGAATGGTGCTGTTTAACATCTTCATAGGTGACATGGATGGTAGGATTGAGTGCACCCTCAGCAAGTCTGCAGATGAAACCAAGCTGAGTGATGCAGTTGACACACTAGAAGGAAGGGATCCAGAGTGACGTGGACAGGCTGGAGAGGCGGGCCCATGCCGACCTCATGAAGTTCAGCAAGCCCACGTCTCTTTTTCTGAATTTTTCTTTCCTAATGCACCTGTATTTCCTCAAATGACTTTGAGACATTTCAACAGAGAAATATGAGAAATATGACTGCAAATATGCATACAAAATCTCCATCAGCAAATAAGTAGAGATTGCTTGATAAATAGAAACAAAATGACATTAATTGAATGTACATTTTCTTTTATCTTTAGCGAATGTAGTGTCTTGTACACTGATTGTGGATTGAGATTATTACTAAACCATTGTTTGAATGCAAAAAGTATTTTAAATTTTGTGTTAAGGAATACATTAGAGAGCTAAATGTGAAAGAACTGCAGTGCAAACCCCAAATACTGCTGTTCCTTACCTGTCATTACAGAGGATTTCAAAGCCATGTGGTTTGTTGCAGCGCTGTCATTTTCACTCTTCATTTTTATGCAGGACTGTGGCTCTCAAATTCACCCAGAGGAGTCCTGTGGCTTGCAGCCTCTGTCTCATGAGTACCTGTCTGCAATTTCACAGACTGCACTGAAGACCTGTGAAGCTGGAGATGCGAAAGGTTTGTGCTTTGTCTTCTCATCTCATGCTCTTCACCAAGACAGATGTAGAAAGAGATGTTTCTTACTCTCTTTGCACATGCACCAAACTACACACAACAGTTATAACTAATCACTTGTAACTATTATGGATTTTTAGAACGAGATTAATTAGTTTGTGACAATTTTTATTTTGATGAATTTGTTATCAGCAATCGACCACTGTTTGTGTTATTGTCAGGTAGCCTGTGAAATGCATTGAACTATTTCCATCAGAACCAAGATAAATTAAACAGAGTTTTATTCTAAATGAAAGGAAATGCCTAATTAAAAAGAAGAAAAAAAAACAACTTCTTGACAAAGAATACAACATTTGGACCCACTTTATTTTTATATTTCTACTGAATGTATACTGAAAACAAAAAAAATAACAATTTTGAAGTGGGCTTTTACATGTATCAATACCTTAAACATCAAGGTGGACAAATCACACAGCTGAAATGCCTTTTATTAAAATAATAATTATTCAACAACCAATATGATTGAAGTATCCCTCTGGATTAGTGAGAACCCACATCAGAGCAGAATGGCAGACAGGTATTCATTGTTAGCTCACAGATGCATGAAGACTTATGCAAGTGTGCTTTAACAAATAAGAGAAACCCACAGGACTATTGGAGTATGCAGTTCTGTGCCCACTTTGAGTTGCTTTTGTATTTGACAATTCTTTTGGATTAAACAAAGAATTTGTTCAATTCTTTATTAGATAAATGAAAAATAAGCCCAAACTCCTGTATTTCTACCACACAAATGTATTTTTTTTTCTTCTCATAGATGAGAGCATCTTCTTACAGCAGTGAACTTGCACGAACTCAATGAACACTCTTGCACAGTAACAGGAATGCATGAAGTGCCTGAATGCATCAGATTATATGAAAAAATAGGGAAATAAATTATTTTTTTCAATGTTAAATGAAGGGAAGACACAAAGGAGACGTCACTGTACCTGGCAGCGTATTCTAATCACACAGCAAGTTATGAGTCATAAACACAGCACCGTCTATATTACTACATTAGGATGTAAAAATCCTGACTAGAAAACCCAAATCAAATCAAAAGAAGAGTCCTTTGGGGGCAGACAGCCTGTTTTTGTGATATATAATGTGCGTCTTTTGAATACCTTGTCTAGCTAAATGGAGCTAAATATAAAATATATTTAAAGACAGTGCTAATAGCATAACATTAAAAATGGAAACGACTTCAGGAAATGTAGTCTCAAAGGACAAGTCTTTAAAAAAAGAGAGGAATCATGTTGGCTTGTAAAATGAAAAATTGCCAGGAGATGTCTGATGAGCCTAGAACTGGGATGTATAGTTTCCAGGAAGAAGTGACTGTACAGTTTTAATTCATTTCACAAATTCAAACTGGAACTGGAAAGTAGGGCTTTTTGTGCAAAACCACTCAATTTATAACTAAGCAATATCCCAGTCCTGACAGCGAACATTCTCGTAGAACACAGAATCATAGATTTGTAGAATCAGAGAATTGTTTGAGTTGGAAAGGACCCTTAAAGATATTTAGTGCAACTCCCCTGCAGTGAACAGGGACATCCACGGTTATATCAGAGTGCTCAGAGCCCCGTCCAGCCTGACCTTGAGTGTCTCCAGGGACTGGGTATCCACCGCCTCTCTGGGCAACTTGTTCCAGTGCTTCACCCTTGTCATTGTAAAAAACCTTTTTTTTCTTATATCCAACCTAAAACTTCCCTCTCTTAGTTTGAAATCATTTCCCTTTGTCCTATCACAACAGACTCTGCTAAAGAGTCTGCTGCCTTCTTTCTTACAGCCTCCATTTAGATATTGAAAGGCCACTCCCCGGTCTCCCTGGAGCCTTCTCTTCTTCAGGCTGAACAGCCCCAGCTCTCTCAGCCTGTCTTGGTAGGTGTTCCATCCACTGAGTCCTTTTTTTGTCCCTCCTCTGGACATGCTCCAACAGGTCTCTCCTGTAGAGGACTCCACATCTCAGGTGAGGTCTCACTAGCCCGGAGTAGAGGGGCAGGATCACCTCCCTCACCCTGCTGCCCACACTTCTTTTGATGCAGTCCTGGATCCAGATGGCTTTCTGGGCTGTGAGGGCACATTGCTGGTTCATGTTCAGCTTGCCATCCACCAGTACCCTCAGGTCCTTTTTGGCAGGGCTGTACTCTATCCTTACATCCTCCAGCTTGTGGGGATTGCCATGATACAACTGCAAGGCAAAAGAATGTTTCTATAACCTACTCCTAGAGAAAGCATCTTTAAAATGTCTTAGGATTTCAACTAGATCCCAAATGTAAAAGTGAACTAGTCATAGATCAACAAGCTATTTTTAGTTTCACTTTAGCTAAACCTTTAAATTTAAATTTGATTTTTCAGTTTGTTGTTGTTGTTGTTCTATGGGTAATTATTTGGTTTTGATCTTGAAAGTAAAATCTTTGTCTTTGTGGGTATGGCAGTGGGAAAGGATGAGTAAAAACAAAAGAGGCTGAAAGCCTTGTCCAGAAGGAAAAAAAACAAACAAAGAAACAAACAATGAAATTCAGCTTTTCTTAGTTAAAACTTCTTGACTTTAGGCTAGCATTTGCTGGCTTTTTAAGTATGAGGTAAATAGCCCTGAATAATTTTTAAAAATCATATTTGTTTTCATACCAAGTTAGGAGAGCATCTAATGGGAGTACTAGCAATGTTTAATCTCATATCCTAAGCAAGAGGTTTACATATGCAATTGATAAGCCTCTTTAATGAGCCCAAAAGCAAGTTTACTGTATAACCAAGATGTTATAATCACAATATAATTGAGTATAATCAATAGATATCAAGATGTTATAATTGCAATATAATCAAGAGAGTAAGGTAAAGCAAACAAGGATCACAAGAGAGAATAAGTGGAAGAGCTTACCCTTGGGTTGAGCTCATCAGAAGATACCAGAAGAGGGGATCTCCAGAAGAGATCCTTCCCCTCTGGTAGCCAGCTCTTAAATAGATCCAGGAGGTGAATTGCCTTCACCTGTGCTCCTCTGGCTGACTCAAGGCTCACCTCAGGTGATCAATCAGAGGTTCAGGCCGTGACTCAGCAGTTCCCATACATTTACTTTCACTCTTTCTCTAGAAACCTATTACAGGCTTTCATAAAACTTTGTATTTGCTATACAATAAAGTTAACCTAACAGCAGCTTTCTCTTACCCTCCTTCAGTGAATTCTAGGTGAACTTGCTTTTGCCCAATAGAACCAGTGCTGACTCTTGGCTGAAGCAGCATAAATCAGAGTAGTTGAAGTTATGTTGAAAGCTACCTTGTGTACTGCTACCTAACAGAAACAAACCACCTTAGAGTCTGAATAGAAAATCATCTTATCTTCCAAGCTAATATTGATTTGTTGCAATTTTTACTGTTACTTGTTTTCTATTTTTATATATAAGATTTATTTTTTTATCAAATCTCATTTGTGAAGGTTAGGAATGCAGTAACTAGCTGTTGTGAAGTTGCAATAGGGAAAATTTTATTATAATTCGATTTAAAATACATATATTTACATAATATTAAAAATCTATGTAAGTGTAGCAACTGCATATGCTAGCACAAAATGCTTCCTATAAACATAGATTTGCCATCATATGCCATTGTTGTCTATTTTTTTGCCACTTGTCTTCAGCATATACCAAAAATATCTCATTTTTTCTTACTTAATTACTGAACATAAGATAAATAATCTTTTCAAAAGGTACATTATCACTTTCAGTTGCCAAAGCTTAAACTTTTATTATTCATATGTTTCAGTTCCTTAATATTCATTTTATATAGTTCTACTTTTCTAGTTTATTACCTAAAACCAGATCAGCTCGTAAACGTATACAAAGTTAAGCAGAAAGTTCCATAAAATGTGGGATCTCAGATGTAACCACTGCCAGAACTTTTATGAAATTGGTTTAAAAGAAAAATTACGTTAGGAAAAACTGCCAGTTTTCATACATTTTTTTAAGTATAAACCACTGCCCCAAACCACTTTTAGGTCATTTTTGAAGAACTAGAAAGCAGTGGTAGTCTCTGATTCCAGACCTCAAACCAACCATTCATTCTGTCCCTAATGTTTTACTCAGGAAGTATAAAGTGATAATAAAGTGATACAAGGAGTTTACATGGCACTTTCTACTGTGCTGAGACGTGGTGCTTCTCGTTCTGTTCATATGAGTGCATGTGAAAATCATGCCTTGCTCTAGAACTTGGGTCATCACTTTGTAGCCTTGGGTAAAGATTCATTTCAAATCCCTAGACACAAACGGCATAAGATCTTGCCCAGAGACCAACTGTCAGGTCATCTCCCAGAAATGTTACCTGTTTGGAACTAACTACTTTTTTATCCTAATGAATGTTGAACTTCAAGCAGTCCTTGGTTGACAATTGTGGGGAGTGTTGTCCTTATGGCCAACAGCTTAGTGATTAGGACAGAAGGAACATAAACTGAAAACTGCACTGTGTGAGGAGCTCTGAGCAGCTCTACCTCTGTGCTTTTGCACCACGGTCCAGAGCTGTCCCTCCTGCCTTTCTTCATACCATGCTGCCACATGCCCATAGCTGCCTGCAGGAGCTCACTTAGGTGTGCTGATGTGTGATAATGGCAGTGTTCAGGCTTTCATTTAGTTCCAGCCTGCCATCATGTGCACCGTGTCACCTGCAGGTACAGCTGGCCGTGGGTATGTTCTGCACAGACAGAAGTGGCTGCAGGACAGGCTCAGCAGCAGCCAGAGCTGTGCAGCCATAGCACTCTGGGATACTTTCTGCCCTCAGATGTGCAGGCTGCCCTGTGTCAGTGCAGGTTCCCATGCAAACAATTCTTGATAGTTTCATTTAAGAGGGCTCTTTTATCTGCTACTTACCAAAACATTTGCTTAGGACTTTCCAGCAGTTCGAGCATGGGGTGACTCATGGAGATGGCCTTGCTCCTGAGGTAGCAGCTGACAGCTCAGGGCCTCTGTTATTCTGCAGGCCTGGTTCTCTCAGCCTCCCGCTCTGTCCTGGCCTGATAAGTGCTGATAAACAGTGGCCTCGTGTTGCACTGAAGCTTCTTGTGTAGCAGCTGTATAACAAACACTGAGAAGCCCACCAGGCTGGTGCTTATGTCCAGTAGGAATGACTGCAGGCCTGCTTTGCAGGCGTTTGCTGCTGGAGACATTTGCTGGGCTGCAAGGAGAAACCAAAGCGTGCTAAGAAGGCTTGATAGCTTTGACAGAAGAATCTGGAGGCATGAGTTGTTGTTTTTCAATAAGGCAAAAGCGGGTTTTGCTGTCATAGCTACATGGACACTGAGAGCTTTTGTCAGGACATTACAATTGTATGGACTGGAAAAAGAAGTGGAAGTGAATATAAAGGCAACTCAAGTTTTCTATCTTCATTCAGAAGCTAAGTCCCTCTGACTTCCTGTAAGATTTTGGAATTAAACAGCTTTAGAGACCCAAACTAAGTAAATCATTCAGTCTTTCAAAACAGATGCTTGAAACTCACTGACTTGTGACAATCCCACTATGCACTCCTTAACTGCAAAGTAATGTTTGAAAATGGAGGTCAGTCATGTAGTTTACTCATCTAATTTCAACCATCTGAAATGCATGTGTATGGTTTTCTGAATTCTCAAAAAATAAAGAAATGAGTATCGATGAGGGAAAGCCATCCTCTCTCTTGCTTTACTTTGCTATCCAGAGGCTTTGATCAATACTCAACTTTTTAGAAAAGAACTGTAGAATCATAGAATTGAATCACAGAATCGTTCAGTTGGAAGGGATCCTTAAAGGTTCTCTAGTACAACTCCTCTGCAATGAACAGGGACATCCACAGCTAGATCTGCTTGCTCAGAGCATAGTCCAGCCTGACTCTGACTGTGTCCAAGGATGGGGCTTCCATTACCTGTCTGGGGAACCTGTTCAAATGTCTCACCACACTTATTGTAAAAAAAATTTTTTTTATATCCAATCTAAATCTCCCATATGGTTTGAAATCATTTCCTCTTGTCCTATCACAGACACTGCTAAAGAGTCTGTCCTCCTCTTTATAAAGGTCTGATAAGTGAGAGTTAATCTTGATAGATAAGAACAAATCTTGCCTTTAGATGTTTCAGAACTGTAAATATTTTCCTTTTCCCATTCTGCCTCTTTAACCCCTTCGACTTTATTTTATCCCTTCTGCTGGGAAAAGAGAAACTGATGCAAGAAAAGCAATTTGAACTGAGAAATGAACCCACAAGCTACTGTCAAATTTGAGCATTCACAGTTCTTTCAGAGAGAGCAAAAGGAATGCAGAGAAGGAAAGAGTCTCTTTAATATATGGAAAACTGCTGTCACAAAATGCTTGAGAATGCCTCATTTGCTCCACAGTAGCACTCCTCAAAAAAATACAGAGGAGATGCTAATAAACCATTGCTGTTTTCCAGGGCAGTGGATTGTCCCTTGCCTCAGCTGCTCTGACAACAGAACCTGTGACTGGAGAGAAATAATGTGGCAGCCCCATGGCTGCCAATACTCTGTGCTTGATAAGCCCGAGCTCCAGCAGTGTGTGGAAGGCAGAAAGGTAAGTAACAGATTCTGCTCTTTAATTTCTTGTTATTTACTTGAATATTAAGTGTTCCAGAATCTTAAAAGAAATTGCATGAGTGATGTTTAAGAAAAATCCCTTTTTATTACAGTGGGGAAAAAGTTTTGGACAGAGAATCCACTATCAATAATTTAGCCTCCTATGCAGTCACAGCTGTACACTGCCATTTCACATAAAACTCAGGTCATACCAATGGAATTTCAAGATCTGCAATGTACATGGTTCTCAATGAGACCTGCAAAGGGTATCCAAGCATGGTGAACAGAGAAGGGATTTGCATTGTTACAGTTTGTCTCACACTTTACATGCAAGTTTAGTTTCTTCTGCTGCATACCTAATGCATGGCATTGCTTGTGCACACTAATCTTACCAAGTCTTCTTGCACATTCTTTTCTTATAGTGAAGCTTCTAAGGTGATTGCTTGGAAATACAAGGTCTCCTTAATAGGCATGCTATGACTATAAAACTGTTGAGAGAAAGCTCTGATCTGAGGCTCAGGTACATTACTGAGGATACAAGTATCCAGAAAGTAAGTAATTAATTGTTATAAAGATTTTTTAGAGTGCATTGTCTAGATAAGAAAATAGTAATTAACATTTTGAAAGAATCTGATACAAGTTCTGTATGGACAGATACAAAAATAATAGTTTTCAATTAACATTTTCTCCTTCATTTCTGATCATTTCTTGTTCTGCACAGAGTTCTTCACTGTTGCTTGGCTTGATTTCTGCCTGTGGTTTTCTCCTACCATACTTTTCTCAAAAAAAACCAAAAAAACCAAAACCAGTGGGTTTATATGACAGAGAAACTCAAATTGCTTATTAAATACAAAACAAGCACTTCTGGATTGACCACAACAAACAATGTAGAGTGATTTGCTAGCTTTGGTCTTTAATTTCCATAGACATGGGGCTGTTTCAATGAGAAAACAGCCCTTGGTCAGACAGCTAAAGGATGACAGAACAGTATACCACAGTGGAAGTGAATTTCCAGGGCAGTGTGGGATTCACTTCCTGAATCTGGGTGCTTACATTCATCAGTGTGAAAACAAGGACAACCTTGTTAATGTCCACTACTTTAAATGTCCACTACAGCCAATCTGAATTCAAATGTTATGACTTTCATCCATTCTAGTGTCAAACAAGAGGCAGAGCTAATGTGAGGTGCATTAACACAGCGTGAGAAACATCTATGTAAAACTAATTGCACGTTTCCTACTCTGCACCTTTTGCATCACTGTCTGATAACCATTACTGGGCTGTAGAAAGCTGCTGAATCACTCATGTTACCTTTTCACAGATGTCCAAGTACCTGCTTTATTCTTTATAAGTCATCATCCTAATGCATGTTCCTATTTTGCTATATATCTATCATCTCCTATGTCTTTCCTCAAATGTTATTGTTGTTGTTACACTGTGGTATTATTAATTTTGTGAAGCATTTTCAAATAACATTTGTGCTTCTTTCACCAAATAAATAATTGTAAGGCCTGGATCAAGTTCCTCGTGTTGTTGGAACTTAGGAAGTCAGAAAGTCTTTCTTTATACATAAATTGGATGAGTAGAAATGGCTTGGGTGTTAAAGTCCTGATTATGTCTATGATTAAGGGAAACTTTATACACTGTGAGGATATGATAGAAAAAAGTTTTGGTTTTTTTTTTCAGGCATTCACTGAAAGAGACTTTTGCTTTTCAGTTTTGTAAGGGAGCCATTGACTAGACAGGTATAATTCTTGAGAATGAACACATTTTTCTTATTCAAGATATTTTTATAACCATCCATCAGTATTTATTTTCCCTAACTTGTGATATTGTTTTCAAACCATTATATACCTCAGCTTTAAACGCTATAGAGATCACTGAATTAATATCAATTAATTACATCATAATTTCCTTAGTAAAATAAACAGAAGGGTTCAACACCGACACGCTGAGCAGACAACAAAAACATAATGAGGGCAAAATATAAGCCCAAAATCATCAGCTTAGATGAGGATACTGAGATGATTTAGAATGTTTTTTAATCCTACTGAAGTTAGAGGACAACAGAAATCACTCGTGTTCACTTACCAAAATGCACTCAAATATGGCACATACTTCTGTATTCTGAGGACTGGTAGTATGCCATCGTATTTGAAATATTCATCTTGTGTAACATTGTTCTCCACAAAATCTACATTTTGCAGCATCAGAAGTAAAATTGTTCCATCAGAGCTGGAAGTAACTGTGAGATCTCCCAACTCAGCCCTGTTTTCTTACCTGCAGACCACACAGTATCTGAATTCTTGCTCAAAATGTATTTCAAGATAAGGCAGTTAAACAGCCCACGTAATTACCAAGTCTTCCTTTGGAAAAGATAGTGGCATATGTCAGTAGCATCAGTGGATCAAATCATGTCATGCCTTCCCTTGAGCCTCTGTGATTTTGTGGATTTGACTCTAGAGTACCATTTGGAGAAAATTCAGACTCATGTAGGATTTGATCAGGAGTTGAAGGAAAAGGAATTAGTAATATTTCTGATACGTTAGGCTGAAGCCTCTGATTTTTGTCCGTCAAAAAACATATAGTTCAGCTTCATGATTCTAATGTGCTGGTTTTTACTTTGTATGATTAAAACTTCACAATTAGACAAGATAAAACAACATAAGTGCCTGTGATTATATATTTTCTTTAAAAATGAGGTGTCAATCTCTCTGCCACTGTCACATTCCAACTATGATAACTGCAGATTGTGTTCTTATGCACCTCTTTTAATGCATGCACACACACACAAGAAAAAAAAAAGTCTGTGTATTGTTTTGCCTGTAGTAAAAGTGAAGGGAAGCGTGCAGTGAGTTTATCATTACACATTACTGTGTAATGATATCTGGATGTGCATCAGCAACTAATGAAGCAAGATGGAAGGTGAATGCCAATAGTCTCTTTTTGGATGTAGCACATATAAGATCAACTGTAAGTTTAAGTGCAACTATACTTTTTTGTTATGTTTCATAGAACAGCAGTTAAATACAGTGCTCAGATATGTCTCTTGCTCTTTGATTTCTTTTATGTGTTTATCAGCATTTCTGAAAGATACGATCATTCAAATAGCACTTCTTTCCTGTATTCAACGTAAAAAAAGCCTACCAAAATATGCTTTTCAATTTTTTTTTTCTAATTTCAAGCTGCTTTCATATATTTAATTAAAATGCATTTGTAATTCAAAGCTCATCTCTAAAATTATCAAGTCCTTTCTCTATAACAGTGATTCACTTATCCTGGCTGTGACTTCAAATTGGATTTAACTACTATTTTAGCTTGTATGCATATAAAACTGTGTTTGAGCTAAGCTGTTTCTGTTTCATAAGAACCTAAGACCACCTGTAGTGAAACAGATTGGTGGAGACATGAGAAAGGATATGCATTCACAAAAACAGTTTATAAGAGGCCTCATTTTGCTTTATGATGTGTTAGCAAGACTAGTCAGTCATATGTTTGCATTTCAGACACTGTAAACAGGAAAATTCTGAAGTGTTGAGGCTCAGGTGGTTCTGGCATAGTAGATTTTCCAGTTTGAGCATTTGTAATTGTTCTCCCTTCTAAACTCTTAGTGAGGGTAATAAGATGCAGGTACATTGTTTTACAGAACTCCATGCGTGCCCTAATTGAAGGAAAGAAATAGACAATCTTAATAAAAAGAATGTATCTGTATGATATTGGCTCAACAAATCCTCTGTGTTTAACAAGAATTTGCTGTAAGAATTACCCAATTCTATTATGACACAGTGCTCTGAATTTTGTACAGTAACTTTTAAAATTAGGTATAGGAAAAGGAGTTCTAACAGGTAATTATTTATCCAATTAGCAGCACATAGAAATCTACACTCAATAGCATGGGGAGATTTTGTTTATCATTGAGAAATATTTCTCAGAGTTTAGTCTTATAATAAAGTGCCATTGAATCATGTGTAATTAAGGACAGGAAATGTAAAAAGGCAATATTTGCTGAAGTACTTAAAATTCAGCTGTTAAAACAGGAATTTTAGCTTATAATTTCTTAATAATATTTTAGAGTTAAGTACTGTTTGGGATTTACAGGTGCTTAGGTTTCCTAAGCGTGGTTAATTTATAATGATAGGTCTGGTTAAGAAGTGAATTCCACTATGCTTACACAATCTCTTAAAGCCTGTAAGCTATGATGGATTTTTTTCTCACAAAACATTTGCAACAGAAGACGCTGAAAGCATCTGTCTGCATGACAGTGTTGTTCTCTGTCTGGTAAAATTATAGCCTTATGTATGCCTGATCCTTTAGTCATCCTGCAGACAAATCCCCCATTGACCTGAACAGCGCAGGACTAAGCCTTGTGCCAGACTGTGGAGAAAATGAGATACAGCATATTCTGCACACCTGAACCATCATTTGGCTCATTATTGTCATAGAGCTAAACAGGAGCATCCACAGAGCCCCTGGTTCAAATAATATGTGGCATGCACAGCTTTGGTAAGTTTTTGCAACTATATAGAAATATAGAATATGTAGATATTGCCATAGCTACCACACATTCAATTGCATTTAATAATTAGTCTAATTCATCAAAGCTCTTGGATTATTTGGAGGACATAAGCAAGTTTTCTTCCTGGAGCTATGCACCACCTGCTTTAGCCTCTGGGTTGTCCAAACAAATGCTGATAATAAAGCTTGCAAAGGGTGGATGCTTTGAAAGATACTTTCTGATAGTCTGCATATCACAACAAACTGTGCTTGGCCAATTCAGGGCAAGGGCATTTTGAAAAGATTTTTTGCAGGTAGGATTACACACAAATGCCCTGTTCATCCACCTGAGTGTTTTTTTTTTTAAGCAGAAGAAAAAGAATTTGCCTGTTTCCTTCCAGGATTAACAGATGCCTCACAGTATGGTTGGAACAATAGTTAGAACCAGACTGTTGGATGCAGAGAAGGCCTTAATGAGTGGATGCTCTATGTGCAGGTTTGGCGGTGATGTGCTGTGCATCCAGCAGCCTGGGATGCATTGGATTACAAAGAATCCGCAGTTATCTTTCTGTCTGAGATCTCTGCTGCATTTATGGGATGCAGAGCATCCCGTTCAGAATGCGGCACGCGTTGTCTCCAGAGTGTGTCTGCTGACGCCTCCAGTGAAGATCACAAGACATCAGCACTCGTTTTAATGACATGTCTTTCAACAGTGCTGTGATTTCACTGTGAAGGAAGTAGCTGGAGTTAAACAGACTTGCGTGATTCCAGTGATACTGTCTTGGCATAGCTCATACCTGCTTGAAGTCAGAGATTTCTTGACTGAAAGCTAATATGATTGTTATAACTGACTGACATCTTTGAAGATAATCTACATTTTATATCTCTCTTTCTGTACAAACACAGGTCTGCTTTGGCTCATTCTCCTCTTCTCCTCTTACATCAAGTCTTAACTATTCTCTTAGCAGACCGGTTTCTGAGTATTTAGGTTAATTTTCCTGGTGCAACCTGTATTCATCCACCAATGTGATGTTGCTATCTGTCACATTCCTGACATCCTTTTCAGCCACACCTTCTCCTAGTTATAAATATACATTCCCACATGGACGCTCAGTCATGGATCTAATCCTTTTCCTGATCTGCTTTAATTCTTCACAACAAGCTCACTTAAGAGTGAAAATTGAGATGTTTTGAGACTCAAAACTTACTCCTTCAGAGGTGAGGTGTGGACAGCCTTGTGAGTCTTTTGCTATTTGAAGAAGTACCTCTGGGCACTGACAAGTATCTGCTTCATCTAGTTACGCTGACTGCTCTACAAGAGTCTGCTCTGACTCCCAGCACCTCCTTCACATTCTCAGAACATCAGCACAACAGTAATACTATTTTTGGTCCATCTTATATTTTTATATGATGCTTAGCATCTTGGCACTAAGACATTTTTGCATCTATATGTCATGTTTTGCATCTGCATGCCATGGCTCTTCTCTCATTTTTTTTTCTTGTCTTTTTTGTTTGTTTTTGTGTTGTGTTGTTGTCTGCTGTTGGGATACAGCTAGATGAGATTAGACCTTGTACAGCTAGAAGAGAAAGTATTTATCAGAATATAAGTCATTATATAACAAAGGCTAAGGTAAAATTGCCACATTTTCCAAATCAGTGTAGCTTATAGCTGAATGTGCTCCTTTCAGTTGGAAATCCCCATCATAACTGATTCCAAAATGGTGTTATATGTTATAAGAAGAGAAATAGTCTAACATGATCTACTGTGTATGACCTAGTAGAGCCTGCTTGTTATTCTGCTCATGGTGTTCTGTACTTTTATAGAAATTTACTCACCCATACCGCAAGTTAATGATATCCTTGCCTACAAATATCTAAGAACTACTCTTTAAATAGATATCCATCTATATAACACAGTGATGGACTCATGAAGTGAAGATTAAAGAGATGTGGATATAGACAAACCAGAGAGATTAAGAGCTTTTGCAAGTTGAAGAATTCTTGTTTAAAACCTCAAGTTAGCCTACTTTAGAATTAGGTCAGATTGTAGTGTGGACTGTCTTCCAAACTGTAAATAATTGTGTGCATGTTTGTGCATTAGAGAAGGAAAGAGGGGGAGAATCCAACAAATCCTTCCACTGCCAAAGATCCTTGACTTCTGAGTCATGTTGTGCTTGGCTTAAAAAGGTTTCTTGTGGCACAGTGTGAAAAGAGTTGGAAATCCCCTTGCATGTGAGAGAAGCTCTTGTGCAGTCCAAGCAGGAACAGCAACTGTTTACAAATTTAATCTGCAAAACAGCTTTGAGAGATCCAGAAAAGGACATAAAGCAGCTTCTATGTATGAATTTAAAACAGCTTCTGTGCCTACCAAATGATTCTCTGCAACCTGCAGACAGGGCATGGAATGTTCAAGTTACTGTTGCGTGCATTCTCGGCTCTGCCACCAGATCAGGGTATGTTCATGCGAAACAGATTCTGTCTTGGGGGAGCTTTCCTTGGGACACAGTTGTGGTTCATTTTTTCTCGCAGCAGTCTCATAGGGGGCACTGGATTCAGTCTCTAAAACTGTTCCTGAAGGGAACAGATAAATAGAGATCTATTAGATGAGAAAAGTCCATCGTGTTTTCACCACATAAAATCTCTAAGGCACGCTTTGGAAACATCTTCTTAAATATGATATCTTATGTTGTCTGAATTCTATTTGTCTAACCAACATTCAAGGTGGAAATGTTAAAGCATAAAAAAAAAAAAAAAAAAAAAAAAAAAAAAAAAAATCAAATAAAAACCCAAATGGCAACCCCTACTTACAGGATGACAACTACCCCAAATGCCAGAGGAGGCAGGAAAAAGAGGCACACTGCTGTACAGAAAACAGGGTTGATATTGTGTTATGGCTCTGTGGGGTTTCTGACTCTCAGTTTTATATTTTTGCTCCCTTGTATGCATTTCTGGTTGATTGTGATATTTACAGATCATAGGCAGTTTCACTGGCAAACCTCAGTGAACCTGTGATCTCTTCAGATTTGAACTTCTATCATTGCTTACACGTTTTCCTTAGCAGGAGGAAATGTTGGTTTTATCCACTAAAAATAGGGCAATAGTATTGAAAATACATACCTTCAGTTCTGTGGTCTCAACGTACAGAACCCTTGATTTGGCAAAGTCAACAGAACGGCTTGAAGCAACCCTACATTTAACTTCTTTATTCATTTGCAAGTTCAGAGACAGACTGCTGACATCTCTGTTATCCTTATGGCTCTTTCAGCTCCCTTTAGGATGCAGTGCTTCCTGTCACACACAGTCCAGGACTGTATTCAGATTCTTTGCCACCAAAATAGCTCTCTTTTTCAATTCTCTCTGAAATGAAAGAAAGACCATCTCTTTACAAATAAGGCAGCAGTTGCACTCATTGATGTGTGCGTTCCTTTGGTGTAACTTCTAATTAATCACATTTATGGAAGACAGAAGTTAACCAAGACATGCTGTGTAGGAACAAACCACATGAAAAACTGAAGGAAGCAAAGCAGGAAACTGCAAGAAATCAGGAGAGAAACTATTAGCAATTTGAACTATAATGTTAAGCTAAAGAAAGCAAGGATAAAAAGTGTTATATTAACTGTGCAACTATAGACATTTATTTGTGCTTTTTTTCATTGAATCGGATAATGTTTGCTAGGTCAGAATTTTAGTACTGAGCTGTCAGGCCTGCCCTCACTGGCAGCTCACAGAGAGTTTTCTTGAGTTTTGTGAAAAGGATCTAAAAGCCTCCAGCCTGGCTGTATTCTTTGCTTTTTGTTTTTGGTGTGTATAGCTTCTAAGTCACATCTTCTTTTCCATCCAAAGATTCTTTTTATAGGTGACTCAACCAACAGAGGGATGATGTACTATCTAATAGAAAGAGTGAATGAGACTCTTCAGGAATGGCAAAAGACTCATGATGTTAAATGTTATGATAATATCAATAAGGGAAAAACATTTATCAGTTACTCCTACTATCCCCAGTTTTGGATGACTGCAAACCAGAGACCAACTTTTGAAAAAGCGCTAGAACAACTGCTGCAGAGGTACTGTATAAACTCCACTGCTGGCTTGTTTGTGTTTTATTCTATTCACAAATGTGTTTAACAGATTTTGGAAGTAAAGTAAGCAAACAATTAAACACAATGTGTTCAGGCCGTATTGTGTGGTTGAAAAGTAGTAGAAAATGACATCAGGCCTCTGATCAGGGTGCCAGATACAGTTCACTGAAATGCAATGCAGTGCCGTTAAAATGTTTGCCATCTGTTTTAAGGCAACGTGTTGGTTTTTTCTTTCTGGGTTTCAGATCACGTCCGCTGGAGAACACAGACCAGACCGTACTAATTGTAGGTGGCGTTCAGTGGCTTAATTCCAATCACCTGCAAATCATCCAAAAGGTGTTGAACAGGTAATGTTATGCACTTAGTGTTATTCCATGTCAAGACTTGATATGATAAATTATGAGAAAACACCAGAAATTTTAAATGCAAACATTTCACTTGTTTTCTTATGGGTGTGGACTTAACTGACTTTGAAAGAAAAAAAATGTGGTGTCTTTCGATGTGCATGTTAAGTAAAACGTGTGTCCTGTTTTTATCTTTTTCACTTGCCAAACAGAGAAAATCTATCAAATATCCTGGTAATTATCAAATCCATAGGGATGGGCTTTCACCTCCCAGTGGATGGAATACATTCTTTATCACAGGTAAGTAACAGTATATTTAGAGTGCATTTTCACAGAAGACTTGTTATTTCAGCAACCATTTCTTCTGCCTGGTCGAAGTATGTTATCTCTCCTGCTGAGCAACTTCTATTTGGATCAAAGAAAGAATGGTGTTTATATTTGTTAGTGTGGCTTACTGATGTGGATTCAAACCAATTAGCCTTATTTCATGAATTCTACTGCAATCAGAGTCATTTGAGGCACTGTGCTCAGTCAGCTGTGCCAAGAACTAGAGGAACGTCCAATATTAAGCCTTATGGCAGAGTTGAAGTTGAACTGGGGCTGGGCAGATTGCTCTCTGTACCACATAGAGCACAGACCCTCCATAGGGTGATACAATCAGGCCAAGCGAGCAATACAGCAAGTTGAAATCATGTCCAAGACTTCTCAGAGTAACAGATGGGCTCATTTCAGTGTACTGTATAACTCATTCAGTTCAATATTTTTATTTACAATTTTGTTGGTGGGAGAGAGAACACGTGAAATACGTGGATAAGACAAAGCTGGGAAGCACTGCAAGGTAGAATAAAGTAATTAATGCCTACCACCGTTGCATGTAACACTAGGGAACAGCTTAGTCACACCTGTTGAATAGAGAAAACTCATAGCTTTTCTAGATTATATAGACACTGAGATCTGCTGTTCACCTCTTCTTCCAGCCATAATACATTACTTTGTTTGGCATGTGATTTTTGCTATAGAGGCAAATTGTCAGATTTTGCCCAATTCTTTCTAGATTTACATTATCTGCCAGTAATCTTTACTGAATTTCTTCTTATGGACTCCAACCATTTTCTTTATAAAGATGACTAAATTATGGGACATTGGAAAAGTGGTTGGAATCCATGTGAACAAGCATGGTCAAAGTTATTGCTATAGCATTCAGCAGAGTTCAGACCTAGAAGGAGAAAGAAGAACTTTGATCTTATGTAGGTGGGGCAAGGATAGAAAGACTATTAAAGGCTTCCAAAGGTTATTTTTATTCTTTTTCTCAAGCAAATTCAGGAAATTCAGAAAACTCCAGAAATCAAATTAAGTGTGCAATTCACTACGTTTTCCTTTTCAATATTTGAATCATATATCAAATTTTGCATGTAGTTTGGGTGCTATGGACTTCTGGATTACCCCAGCTACTCTCAAAGCCCTTCTACCTGCAGTGTCAAAATGTGCTGCCTAGACAAATTTGTAGCTAATCTTTCTATTCTTGGTCATCCTGCAATATGTTGAGAACAAATATTCTGTTCTTTACTATGACTGTGTCTAAGATACCTATGCCATATATTCCTTTTTAAACAACAGTCTCAGTGTCTTTGATCTGAATCTGAATTTATACTTTACAAGAACAATTTGTTACATAGACAATTTCATAATAGGATTTTTTTCTGAAATATATTAACAAAATGTATATTAAAAAATTACTCAGTAATTATATTTTAAGCAGCATTGAAACATTCCCATGAAGGAAAGGAAGCTGGACATCTACTGAAAAATAATTACAGTTACTGCTAATTTTGTTTCTAGTTTACATCTTCTCTAAATCAATCCAATTTGTTGTGCAATTAAAAGAAAATATTGTAAATTTTCTTATAGCTATTTATGTGCTGCATAACCTGTTCTAAGGAAATATCTATAATGAAACTGTTTTGTCCAAAATGCAGTTTTACTATTCATTTCAATGGCAAAATAAAATAACCTGTAAAAAGTCCATTTGAAAAACTTTGCAATATGTTATCTGGAATGCAGGCAGAAGTACAAAACTTGTGGAATGAAAACTTGGTTATCTTGGAGACAGCAAAAACATATGGCTATGAAGTTGTTGACACGTTCATCATCACAATGGGACGATACAAAGAATTCCTGCGGGGGAAGTGCGGGTGTCATTTCCATGAGGTAGGGGTTTGTGTATTTCTCGGGTATTTTTGAGAGCTTTTAACTGCTTAGGAACTTAGAAACAAAAAGGTATGCAAATAGAAGTTGTTGTAACTGGAAGTTAGGCCTGAATAAAGGCTGTAGAGACAGCAGCACACATATGGTGGCACTTGGCCACTGTGTACCAAATGGCATGGCTGCCCAAGAACAGGCTGAGCTGCTGTGATGGTGGCTCTTTGAAAGAAAAACAAGCATGCTCTTCTAAAGAGGTAACTTTTGGAAAATAATACTTTATTCTTTCCAGGTTCTTACAGGATTTGCTATCCATTATATATCTCTGCTATTTCTGCATGTACTCTGTTTTTGTTTTCACAATAGTTCAGTCTCACATGTTTTGTCCTAAGCCTTCCTAACTGAGCTAGTTGGCAGACTCCCTTCAAACCATGATTTAAAATGAAAGGTTGTCCTTATTTCTGTATATATGTTTTCACATTTGTAAGAAAAAGTTATCTGGTATCATTACAATGACAGGTTAAATTAACAGAAATGGTAAGTCATTTGTTCTCATTCTCACCCAAGTTTCTGATTTCTTTTTTGTATGAGGTCTGTAGAGAGTGAGCACAACAGGGATGTGATAAAATATGTGAATAAGGCAATTGAGAATATATTCTTATTCTGTTTGTTCTAAGGCAGGGAGTCTTCACAGCATATTACAAGTGAGGGGATTCCGTGGATTAAATCAGAAACTAATTAGTAAACACATTATTATATTTAGACACAAAATCAGTGCCTAGGAGGCCAAACCAATGAGAGTTTGAAAAATAAGATATTTAAAGTTTTTCTGGTTTGTCTGAGATGTCCTTTGAGTATGTGGCTTGTGCTTTTGGTATAAAAGGCCACTTCCCAGGTTTTATTTGCATGATCAGTGTGTTGAAAATCTGAGCATTGCTTAAAAGAAGGCTCACAAATATTACATTACTCTCTTCAGAAACTAGGAAAATCTTTGAGGAATAAAAAGGACTTATCTTTCCAGATACTAAAAACAAAACAAACAAACAAACAAACAAAAAAAAAAAAAAAAAAACCCAACAACTTACTTCTGATAAATAAGTATTTCTTCAGTGAAAACTGCAGTTGTGCACTCAGAAATCACCAGAAGCACCATGCCTCAGTTCAATGCTGGATCCAAGGACAGATAAACCTCCTGGATATGTATAGATAAAATCATGTGTAGCACAGTAAGAAATTGATTGTGATGCCACGAAGATCCTTATTCTTATGAACTGAACCCAAGTTGTCTCTTTATCAAAAAAACTAGGAAACGACCATAAATTTTTATATTAAAATCTGTTTAGGACCATGATATTTGAACTGTCACGTTCTTCAAGAAGCTTACGCTTCCCTTTACATGACCATAAGACAAATGGCAAGTACACTTTCTTTCACAGCATAGAATGAAAATATGAAATGAAAAGAAATTGTTACTGAAAAGTTCAAACTGGAAGAAAAAGGATGCAATGAAGGATGTCTTCTTGAAATCAAGAGTTAATGATTTCATGGTATTTCACAATCAGCTGGAGGCTTTGTGTCAGTAAGAAATTTCTTAATAGAAATATCAGGAGTTTGATTTCTGACCAGAATAATGACACCAGCAATCTGAAGTATCATTTAAGAGACAGAACTCCATTATTTATTCCTTATGGAGACAATCCTAATTTTTTAAAAAATTAGAGTTATCATAATAAATTTTTGTTCCCCAGGACATCGACCACGTGCAGAAGCTTTGTAGCTTCACAGCTACAAAGGTGAGCTGTGACACTCAGAACAAGGTAGAAGCACTCATTCTTGCTGTAAAGAAATGTCACAGCAGCTGTGATGCATTTCCCTTAAAGTTCCAGAAGATGGAAATATCTAATAAAAAAGGTTTCCTTCTTTAGGCATGCACAATATGCACTGGAAAACAAGATACACTGTGGCTAATTAAATGTAGGAGTAGTTTAAACCAAGCAAACTGAAATTCAATGCTGATGATACTAAAATTGAAGCAAAATTCTAGAGTATCCTTTTGGTGTCTGCCAGTTGGACCCTAGCATAGCAAGCCTGACCATTTTTTTGTAGCCTGTGGATTATAATTCATTCTCCCAGCCACAGCGCTCATATTAATAAATATAAGGCTTTGATTTTTCTATTTAGACATTCCACACAAAGGTGCAATGTCAGGGAAAAACAGTTTACCGGACAATAAATGTGTTCCCAAAAAAGAGAAACAATCAGCTGTGCCTAGCTGGACCCTGTTACAGTTTGTTGAGGCTGACTGTACAGAGCACTGGCCTGGGAATATTGTCAGACATTTTGGAGTGCGTGTGCTGAGGGCAAGCCTCACAGCTCGTTTCTACCTCAGGCTCCTCAGCACTCTCATATTTTCAGTCCGTTGCTTTGGCCTCTGTCCTGTTTTGGGACCAAACACAGCGTACATGGTTAATTAGCTGATCCTTTAATCTGCTCTGCTTTATACATTAGGGAGGGATGAACACAGCTCAGCCCAAATGGAGCTGAGATGATGGGAATAAGTCACAGAGCAGATATTTATGCAATGGATAAATAGTTCCATGGAGTAAATGCCTCCCTCCTTTTCACCCAGACAGCTACATCGAGCCCCTTTTTGCCTACTGCCCAGATGTGGGTGTCTTCGTGGGTCATTGCTGATGCTTTCCATTTCCACCAAGCTTTTCAGTGAAATGGAGGACTTCAAAGTGAAATATTTCAGAAGCTTTGTAGGTGGAAAACAGCAGGGCATGATCAGCCATCAGCACTTCTCATGCACTTTTCCATCATTTTGCATGAGCTCATGTGCAGATTTGGCGTTGCTTAACTGCCCGAGGATCTAAACAGTGAGTGTGTGTTTCTGGGGAAGATCAGGGAAGAATTTGGCTTGTAGAGCTGTTATTAACGAGGCTTGAGAGGCCAGTGTGTTGAAAGAAACATAGATGTACCCAGGAGAATCCATCAGCCACCAAAAACCAGACTTGATCCTTGACGAAAGCAAAAAGAAAGTCCTTGAATGTTTTTGATACCTCGTTAGTTTTAACAGTTTTGTCATCAGTTTATTTCTACATCCTGGCAAATGAAGTTTCATCAGGTGCTGGAGCAGTTTCCACTAGGAAAATGGCATTTTGCCTCTGAGGTTGGAGCCAAGAACATTATGTAAAACTCCAGAACATTTCATGTTGTATGAAACCAGATGAGGTGATTAAATCTACTTTTTACTTTCACTTTCTTTCTCTTAAAAAAATGTCCTCCTAATCTCCCAGAAGACAGCACCCCTCTGCAAACTGAAGCAAGGCACAGCCATATGGGAATGGAGGGATATCTATTCTGTGCGATCAGAAAACAGGAACTGAAATTCATTAGTTCTCATTTAGCTCTCACTAGCTGTTCAAATATATCCCCTGTTTGTCCTGATAAATTATTTGAATTCCCACCAACACACTTCAGAGGGCCTTGGGTCATGCTGACAGCACAGAAATCTGCAGCAGATTGGCAAGGAGTCTAGACTCATGGGAAATTATATTGATCTGGGACAAAAAGTCTTGCATAACTCTGGATCTTTCTGCCCAAACGTATTTCTAGTTCTGTACACATATGCAAACATGATTTTGTAATTACCTCATGCATCAAAAATGCTTATGGAGAAGTAGATTTGCCAGCAGTCATAAAGATCTTATTGAAACCTATTTTTATTCAAATTTATTCCCAAATTTAATGGCAATGAAAGCATGGGTACAACAGAAGAGAAAGAAGCAAGCTTGGTATTTTGATATCTTAAATAAGTGCTTGGCTTCTGAGTGAACACTGGATTGCATTCTTTGGAGATTATGCCTAACAGGAATGCAGTTTGGGTGATTGGTTCAAGGTGGCATCATTTTGGAGCTGTAAGACCTAAGGCCCTAACTTAGAAAAATGAACCTGTAGTAATTGCCTGGAAAAAAATAACAGCCCTTTGGCTTATCTGCATCAAATTGGTCTGAGGATATATTAATTTTCTACTTGGATAATTCCTGGTCTTTTGTTAGTTCAGCCATCTCCATCATAGACTTTCTGCTCAGTCTTTCAAGCCTTTGAACATTTTTCCTTCATTCACATTTGCTTCTGTGTGAGTTATTCCAATCCATTTACTATGAGCCTCACTATGTATGAACTTTGTTTCTGTTTGTTCACTAACAGTAAATAGATGGGTTTTTGTTTGTTTCTTTGTTTGTTTGCTTTTCTCCTGTGCTATGGTTGATACAGCAGCAAAATTGAAAGCCATCAGAGATATAAGAAATAAATTAACTGCCTGGCTCCTTTGTTACTGGCTGGGCTGGAGTTCTCTGTACTCCATCTTCCGTTGGTACAAAAATCTGTATTCTTTCTCATGAAGTTGATTCACTGTTTATCAGTGACTGTTTGTTGACAGAGCCCAGGCCTTCAGCATCATGAGACTTCTCCAGTTATGAAGCTCCTGAGAATCCAACCTCACTAGTTCTATAGATATTTGCTTATTCCATCCATACTGAACATGATAATTCCAGAGATTTATGCATACATAAAAGCCCAAGGGGGACAGTTCTACTCCACTAAGTTACTGAACCACATCGTGGTTTTGTTAGTGTGATGCCCTGAACATGTAAGCAGAGAGAAGACTGTTAAAATGCAATTAAGTCTCTACCCTGAGAAACGAGGCAGAGCCCAGTTCTCAGCCCAGCATGGAGCTGAGCCACTCTTTCATCAAGACCTGAGAGTGAGGGCATTGTAGCAAGGCCTGCAGCTTAGAAACAGCATAGGTTCCTCACTTACTGGAAACTGAGAACATCTGGACTTACACATTTCTGCAAGTCAGGGCTGTTCTGAGTTTGTGTTTCACAAGGTAGATGTGCAGGCAAGCTATGAAATATGAATTTGATCATTCAGATCAAATTATCTCTAATGAAGAGTGTCTAATATACTGAAGATATTACAGAGTAAACCAAGTGAGTGTGAAGGAGATACACATTTAATTTCAAAGCTTAATACGATCTTACACTTTAATTAGCATTTATTGCAACAAGTTGACCCACTAAAATAACATTTGTAAGCAACTTGCAAATCAAGGTAAGAGTATCAGAATTTGCTTTGTGGAGAACTGCCTCAACATTTGTGTAGACACAGCTGTGTATCCTTCTAGGTGCATGCAGAAAGCATTCACATATGTCACTTCTTTTGCAGGTGGTGAAATACAATCCTTCTGAAGAAAGTCCACACATAACAATGACGTTATCGAGGCACTATACACTGGGGAAATATTTCAGCAGTCAAAGCAAGCTATCACAACTGCAGGACTATGCATCAAATTCTCGTTCCCCATATCATGTCCAAGGTCCAATAAATCAAGTTTATTCTGAAATCCTTCTGAACAGGCTCTGTGCAAGTAAGAGAGGGCTTGTTAGCACGTAGCCTCCCCTGGATGTAGCACTGGGACTGGAGATATGCCACTACGTGAGTGACATAGAAGGACCATGCTGAGTTTATGACACGCTTCCTTGATTGCCTGCACATGTACCAACAGTTTGAAACATGGCATTTTTCCTAACGTGTTATCAAATCAAGATACAACATGGGAGTTTTGTGGTTTCAAAATGGAAGATGGAGGGATGCAAAGAGAGAGCAGAGGGGAAGTTACTTGAACTGTTGCCAAATGCTAGAACAGCTGTAGCTCAACCAACTGTTTATTAATGATAGTAAAGAGAGAGAAATATATACACTTGAACAATTTGGAAAGGACTGCTTTAGCTCTTCCGCACTATATAATTTTCTATTTATAGAGACACTGTAATATTTGATAGTATTTAGAGACTGGTTACATTCCATTTGAAAGAGTTTTATTTTATGTGGATGGGATCCCCTTCAGTATCAACCCTTTTCTATTTAGACACTTGGTTTATAGAATTTGAAAGTGCCTTTTTGAACTTCAGTGTTTTTCCTGGAAACACTTCCCTTCTTTGTATGTTAAATGCAACAAATGTCTATTCTATTTTTTGCATTTTCTGAAGTTAATATAGAAATAGATTTCTTAGAATTGAGACTGATTGTAATTGTCTCAAGTTAACATGTAAATTCAGTGAATATGTTAACAGACTTATTTAAGGTCACAGTTTAGATGAATGGCCATACGCAGGAAGGCTGCACCATCCTCATCAGCTCTGTGGCTGTAGTTAACTCTGACCAGATGAACATAACAGATATTTTAAAAAAACATCCAATAAATCCAGGACATGATATGTTTTGGCACAACAACAAATGTCTTAAGAGGAAGCAGTATTGTTTTCGTATGAATTAAAAGTGTGAAGATCACTTGAAAAGTAAAAAAATAAAAAAAAAAAAAAAATCAAGTACACACTAGAGAGGGGAATCAGAACCAGGTATGTATGAGTCTAATAAAGGATCCACTGGGTTCTCTGGCTTGCTTCCCCCTTCACAAATTTATATATAATTCTCCACTTGCTTCCACTCTCTTTGGAAGAGGAAGCTACAAGCAATGTCAGTGAAGATACAAATTATATCACAAAACTAATCGCTATCTTCCTGGCCTTTATAGCAAAGAGGGGCTGCCATATGTAGAAATAAGACTAGAAATTAATGACACCACATTTAGAGTTCACCAACAAGATCCTTAAACACAGTCTGTATTCCTAGCTACAGTATTGTGAATTCTCACTCCTTCAGATATGTTAAGTCATGCAATGTGGAGTCCTGTTTTCCTAGGTAGTCAGAAGAGTCTCAGAAAGAGGATTTGGTACCCTCTAATCTAGAAGACCTCCTGCTACGTTAACAAAGCTTCTAGTTTAGGCAATGACATCATCATTAGTGAGACAGAGTGAATATATATATATGTTTTTTTCTATAATATGCTGCTGCTATGCTTACAGTAAATGTCCCTGAATTTCTACGTAAGGCTTTTCATGAAATAGAGCATTATAGGAAAGACAGGGTCAGGAGCTGTACATAAATACTGCAGATGTCAGTATTTGGTTTTGAGCAATGTGATTGTCTAAGGAATATAATTGTATGCAAATGCCATGAGATAGTAAACTTGGGTTTGGAACTCTGTACAAGCAAAAAAACTGCACAAGCTTTAAGTCAAGAGCTTTTATATTATGCCATTAGTATCAGTTGATGCAAAAGGCAGCCAGATATAATTGTCATTGAACTCATCAGTGACAGGAGTAGTACAATTCTGCTTCTGTTAAGATTTTCTTTGCTCATTCAAATCCACATGCTGTGGCTGCTATTGTTATGTACACAAATGTTTTTAAGGCATAACCTGTGTTTATGTGTTTGTGGTTTGTTTTTAATCAAAGACTATGGCTGAAGCATCAGCTACAGTGAGAAAAAGAGCTGACTTTGTTATACTGTAGCTGATATTGGCAAATGTGCAATTCATCATTTCCAGTTTCACCACAAAATGGTTTACATGTGCTGTACACACAGATGTCTTAATGTTTTCCAAATCTTAACATTTTTCAAATGTAGCAAGTTGGAATTCTTCTATGTTTGCTGTTTTTTATCTATCTGTGTAGGTATTTACGTGTGTACAAATTTATTGTTACAATTTGCAAAAAATGTTTATTTAAACAAGTTGTTTGAATATATTTTTTTATCACTGTATATGAGCCATGTAATGTTAGGAATAAACAAAGGGAACACAGGTGCCAAAGTAGATTTTTCACTATTTCACACAAAATATATATCTATTATCTAAAGGTACATGAAAGAAGAGATTTGAGATTGACATGGAAGCACTGCTTGTTCATACACATCAAAATGAAGACTAGGACAATAAAAGGATTACTCTGTCTGAATTCCAGGGAGAGTACATGTGCTGCTATTATTGTTTTGCTCTAGAATTATCTCGTCTGCTATGATATTTTGCCAGAATAAGCATTAGAATATTTCGACTGTACTCACTGGCTCATAATATAGTTCTTTCCCCCATATGTTTGCCTTAGTCACGTTATGCACCATTAAAATGGCAAAAAAAAAAAAAAAAAAAAAAAAAAAAAATCATTTTAAGGTGAGTTCCTCTTAGTACAGACATGAATAGTCCTAAAACTGATGGAAAGATTGGCACAATCAACCTAATCAACCTGGGGAAAAAGTGCACTGAGAAGTGGTGTTTCCTGCTCAACTTCTGACCAGCAACACGTCGAGCACAGAGTGGAATCAGGATATACTTTAAACTACAGGTGAGGGCACTAAAACTGTGCTGTAAAAAAAATAAATGCCCTGAATACAATGCAATAATTTCAGTCATAATTGCATTCCTTTGAACTTAAGTTGAAAAATGATGTATCATCATTCAGAGTTACTCACTGTCTTTCACATGAGTACAAATTTTGCAGTTATTTGAGTTTTATCCTTCTAGGGTAGAGAGCCACCAAAACCAAGTTCATCTCAATGAGTATCTTTGGAATAGCTGTCTGTAATAAAAAAAGATTTCCCTATTTGTAGGGAAATGCCTTGGCAAGTCAGCTCTGCCATTGAGATGTTGTATTTCAACTAGCTTTATTTGACAAGGAGCTGAAAGAATGATCTACAAATACTGTTTTTACACTTAATATTCATTTGACAATGTTATTCTTTAGAATAATCTTTTTCACAACATTAAATGTAGGCCTTCTACTTTACTTCTCCGTGACATATTAAAGGCACATCAAAGACAATTTATTTGCTTAGCGGGTGGAGTGGTGGGGCATCCAATTACCTCAAGGTTGAAATAACCACTAATAGTTATGCTTCTGTTGCTATGCTGAGCCAAAGAGAATGCTTTGAAGAAGCAGATATGTATGATATTAAGTTGACTGCAGTCCAGGGATCTTTCAGATTACTTTTTTTGGAATAAAGCAATTTTTTTAGAGGTGCAGTGAGCTATTTGGCATAGAATCAAGCTCCTAAACAAGCCCCTGTAGTCTCAGACGAAAAATATAGTTTGCCTGTTAGCTCTGCATCTGGCTTGTCTTACCTCATTGTTTTGACTGTATGTACCTGCTGTATTCCACTTCATCCTTTCTTTCTGATGACACGAGAAGTTCCTCTTTCACTTTAGAGAGCTCAGCTTTTGGAAACCTGAGAGAAGATTGTTGCAAATACAGGGCGATTCTTCAAAATATCAATTGTTATTGTCTTAATGTTTTTGTCATTTCCAGCAGCAAAAAATCTACTGCGTGCAGCAGAGATGGGCACACCTCTTCTGGAAGGCAGTCATTTTCTCTGAGGAATTAGAACAGCTGTGCTCAGTACTTAAAGTGCAAGCACTGAGCTCTTCACAGAACTTGCCTTTCTCAAGCCATGTTCCACTGCTATCTTAATTTGTGGAAGGACAGATCTTAAGAACAGTCGGTGTAAAGTGCAGGCACATTTATGTATCAGTGCAGGTACAGATCCTGCAGTATTCACTGGTTCGTCACACTATCCATTGAGCTGAAAAGCTCTGACTGCATACTGGAAAGAGGCTCTGCATTTTACCCTTACTAGTGATAGTAAAGACAGTGTCATGTGCCTAGAGAACTGTGCCTTAAAAAATACTCGAGTTATCAAGTTGAAAGGGCAGGATGAGCCCATAGGGCCACAACAGGGGCTTGTGCAGCACCATTTTGTGCTACAGTGGACCTTTCCCTTTTCTAGGTTAACTCACCTGGCAGCTTGGCTGGTTCAGGCAGCTGCAGGCAGCCCTACCTGCAATCCCTCAACCATTTCAACAGCTTTGGCAAAGTACACCATGTTAAATAGCCTGGGTCTGAAGTTAAAGTGTATGTTTAAATGAAATCTGAACTGAGGTCTTTGTGAAACACAGCACCTGCTCAGCTTCTTGATTTCCTCTAAAGTCAAACTGCTTTTAAAGGAGGTAGAATTCAGTTCCCTTCACCTGAATCTCAGATATCTTTTTGCATCTTTTGACAGTCAATTTTCCCATTGCTTGTTTGCATGAAATAAAGGGAGGACTCGTCTCTACAATCTTATTCCTAACAGAGTGAGAGTGCATCAGGCTCTCTGGGGACAAAATTCCCATAGCAGACGGTGTATTCAATAGTGTGATTTTTAGATCTTCAAGGAAGATGAGGAGAGATTCTTTATCAGGATACGCAGTGATAGGACAAGGCATAATGCTTTAAACTAAAAGGGATTCGATGTCAGGAAGAACTTCTTTACTCAGAATGGTGAGTCACTGGCACAGGCTGCCCAGAGAAGCTGTGGATGCCCCATCCCTGGAGGTGCTCAAGACCATTTGGATGGGGTTCTGGGCTGCCTAAGGTAGGGGTTGGCAGCCCTGCCCATGGCTGGGTATTGAAACTGAGTGGTCTTCAAGGTGTTTTCCAACCCAAGCCACTCTATGATTCTAAGCTACATGAAGATGACACTGCAGAACTAAAAACCTTGAATGAGGAATCAGTATGCCTCAGATGCCTTTTGGCAAAGCCAGGGCAGTTACAAAGAGCTCGCTGCAGATAAAGTGGGTGAAATGAAAGTTATCAAGAGCCCCTTAAGGTCAGTAAATTCTGAGGGATATTGTCAGAATTTGAAAACCAGATCTGTATTTGGCAGAGTTTATCACATGCAACATTCTGAAAACATCTTTTAACTTTTCTTTTGTACCTATTATGATCAAATTCCATATTTCCTTTATGATTCACTAGGATTTAGGAGCTTAAAGTAATAATTCTGCTTTACCTGATAATGACTGTACAGCCTCCCCAGATAATAAAAATGTCTTGTATTCTCTAGATCAGACAAGTTTTACTATTTCTGTGGGGTTTATTTCCTTTACTTTCACATGCCAGATCCAAAGATTGTATATATTTACAGTTAATCCTCTGTGGCTTTAGATAAAAAGTTTTTAGTGTCTCAGATATATTTGAAGAAACCTACATGGCCCTTATTTATCCTAATAGGATGGAAAAAACACTTTAAACCCCGAAAGCTTGACCTTGCAAGTCATTAGGCAATGCACCACCCAGCACAATATAGCCCACAACTGATTTCCTTCAAAAATAAACAATCACTCACATCTTTATAACTAATATTACAATGCTGTCTCCTACTGAGGTTTTTACTGGAGTGATTACAATTTGAACATGATTTGTATGGACTGATATTTTTTTTTTCATCTCAAGGCCTTTGTTGAGTTCTCTTTACAGCAGTGGTATCTATTGGCTACTGTAAAATCCTATTTCAATATCCTTTGTGCACTGTCTTCCCCAGTTATTACAAAATAAAGACAGAAAAGTAGATTTACTGCTGAAGTTAAAAGGTTAAATCATAACAGGTCTTACTGCTTGACCCATTATCTGTCCCAGTATACCACGCTGCATCATTTCCCTGCAGTAACAAGGAGGCAGGGTCTGGTAACCTCATAATGCTGCCTGTCTGTGTGGCTCCTGAGTCTATAGAACAGTTCAGCACTGAAGTCCTGGTGGAGCTATTAAAATAGCATACCTTCAGCTATGAAAGCAGAGCCCAAACATATATTCAAAACATGTTCAGCCTCAAAGCAGGTTCAGCTTGGAAGTCAAGGATGACAAATTCTAGAGACCATCCATCTGTTTTCAGGCATCAGAGCCTGTATTTCTCCTACTTGGCTCCAGATGTTTAACTGAGGCATTTTAATTGTAAGTGTAGTCGCAATTTGTACTCATCACAGAAAGACCAATACTTGAATTGTTCTCTAAAGATATTTATACCATAATATTGCTTATTGTACAGAAAGCTTAGAGCAACATTTAGAAGCCTTTAATAGATACCTTTTGAGAGATGAACGTCAGCTCGACAGAGAAGCAGCTGTGGGATTCAAGGAGCTGGAACATAGATGATATTTTCACATCCCCATTCTGCTCATTTAGACCCAGTGCTTGATCATGTACCAACACTACCACCACTAGCAAGACATGCTTTCCAGAACGGCCCAGATTTGTGCATTCTCTGCGTCTGCTCGTTGGGCTGGTCAGTCATTTATCTATGCACTTGATCTGGAGGAAACCAGCCCTGCATGTAACCTGGAGAGCAGAACATTAAGTGGTAAGTTGGGTTATGCAGGATAAAGACCCTTTATTTGCAAAAATGAAGAACAGATCTCTTTTACAGCTTTACCAGATTGCAGGATGGATGGTTCTCCCTTCACAGGGTCAAGTTAAGGTGGCAGGAATTCAATTCCAGAAAAGAAAAGAGGTTTGTTTTTTTTGTTTTTTGTTTTTTGTTGTTGTTGTTGTTTTTGTTCATTTGTTTGTTTGTTGTTTTGTTTTGTTTTGTTTTTTGCTTTAGACACCAGATTAGATAAAAGTACCTGGTCTGCATCCAAGAGCTCCAGATACCAGCACTGATTCCTGTCATGGAAGTGTATGTAGACCCTAAAGTAATTTAGGTACTGCTGGCTTTACTATGCAGTAAAAGCATCTAATAAGTATTAAAAGCGTGAACCAAACACCTTGGTCACATATATCCTCTTTTGTCTCTGTGAAGAGCTTACTTTTCTGAGCATTTCTCCACACCTTACACACAAAAACACACTCCAGACATTGCTGCCCAATTACTTTGTGGCTATAGCTATTCATGTAATTGCTCTCTAACCCAGCCATTCAAAACAGTATAAGCCAGGATATAGCTCTACAGATTTAAGTGTGTAAACTAACCTGAGCAATGTCAGATCATTTGGTCTGGACAGCTATTAGATACCAGCTATGCCAGTAGGTGAATGGTAGTACCTCTGAAGGCACAGAGGGAAAGTGATGAGCTGGAGGCAGGACAGAGCTGACAGTCTCTCAAGTTAGCTGCAGACAGAAGCAGCATCTTCCTCCTGAAGTCTTGTTGGTGGCCTTATCCTGCAGCTCTGGGGGTTACAGTGCCTGGCTTCAAAGTATTATCTTTAAATGAACATGAATAAATACTTGCTAGAAATAGAAGACTAAATGAGACAAAAAGTGTCAAAATCAGGAACTTCTGAATGTTCTGTTACTGTATCTCGCTGTGCCTAGGGAGTCCCTAGGGACCATAATTACTCTATAAAACAAGTTAACACCTGCTCCTCACACTTTTTTTTAATTAAGATTCAGGAGAGATGCGAGTCATTTTAACGAGTGATCTGTGGCTCCACAGGAGCCAGTCTGGAGCAGAGGCTGTCTCAACAACACAGCACAGCTTGTGCAAGGCAATTATTTTACTTCCTATAGGGTATGTCATCTTTGATTCTGCTCTGGCTTGGGCAATTGAGCTTTTACCTGGGGCTTTTCTGAGGGGCAGAGTATCAACTGTTCCGTTTTTATTTGTCCCCCAGGTTCACAGCTGTTCCTAGTTTAAACTAATGTCCTCTGAAAAAAAAATTGCATTTTGACAGAGCAATGGTCACTTCAGTAATGCTAGGGCTTGCCTATGCCTTGCTCACTATCATAGCTGGGACAAAGGCAGGGACATGGGCATGTAAATCTTCATCCCTGATGGAAAACCAGCCCCCATTCCCCTGAGCACACTCAGGTGCCTTCTTGTTCTACTCAAGTGCACTGACCTGTTTAGAAGGTACCAGAACTCCTATACCTGCTGGGAGACAGTCAGTAATGTAGCAGATGCCAATGTTCCAGAAGCAAGTTCTCAGCAAGACTGAGAACCATAAGCCAGCCAAGATGGTACCTACACATCCAACAGGAAATATTTGTGTCCTGAAGAGGTGCAAGTTTGATGTGATTTCTTCCACTTTGAAGTGGAAGACCTAACCTTGGTCTCTCCCACCATCTCCCCCATACCAGGTCTCTGCCACTTTCTGGGGTCTGGGGAAGCTACAATGATCCTGCCCCTTTCCTGGCCACACATTTTCTGGGATGTGTGTAAATGAAAACACCTTGCTAAGTATTTGTTGTTTCGTTCTACAAAACCAAAATGGTGCTGTTGGCTGTACTGGACAAGGGCTTTCTGGACAGAGTACAGAAGATTTGGGTAAAGAAAATGGGGAGAAAAATCTTCCGGCACATTTAAGTCTGTGACATTAATTCAGCCTCAAACAAGTCACTGAAGTGAAAACCGTGGCTTATGTCCAAGAAGCAGTTCACTTCTGTATAGACTGTAGGAAAAATCAAAGCTTGATTTACAAAGGCTATAGTACAAATACAATGACAAAACACTGGTA